GATACGAGTTAATTTAGAAAAAATTAAACATTAAATTGTAGGCAGTAAATATTTTTTGGTGTAAAACTTTAAAATAAGAAAGGAAGAAATGTATTCATTACAATTTAATTTCATTAATATTATATTTAATACTTTACATATATAAATATATCATTTTAATTTTAAAATTTGAAACAAATCAGAAATAGACAAGTGGATAATATTTATTTCAAAAATAGCATAAAATGATAAGTGTCAAAACTAATAAAAAATTAACAAATGACAAAATTATTTTCATTTATTAGGGAGGATTAGGGTTCCATTGAACCTAAAGTTAAAATATAAAATATAAATTAGAGTTCCATTGAACCTAAATTTGGTTGAATATTGATTACTTATAGTAGGTGTGAGATTCTTGTATTACGCATGTTTTTTTATTAAAAATTAATATAAATTGTTAAGAATTATATGTTTTTTTTGTAATAATTTTACATAAATAGTTGGGGACAGAAAAAAGTATTAGTATTTTTCACTTTAATCAATCAACATTAAAACAAAAAAAATCCACAATAATAGTGATAATAGACCATTCTATTCCTTTTCCTGTTTCCATTCCATCACACCAAAAAAATATAACCACTTTTAAATAAATAGGGAAACACATATAACAACATTGAAGTTATCATGATTTTAAGGAGGTATTCACTTTCTTACCTGCTATGCCTAATGAAACCAATAGAGTTATGAAGAATATTTATATGTTTTTTTTAATTGGAAGTAGATTGAATCTATGCAAATTCACATTTAGTTTAATATGTAGCAAATGTGTAAACAACCAAGAAAACCGTAAAAATGACGTTTTTGGGGACAGAAAAAAGTATTTGTACTTTTCACTTTAATTAATCTACATTTAAAAAAATCGATAATAACAGTGATAATAGACTATTCCATTCCTTTTCCTATTTCCATTCCATCACACCAAACAAATATAACAACTTTCAAGTAAGTAGGAAAACACATAAAACAACACAGTTGAACAAAAACATGAATAACAATTAACTTTTTCTAATTATATTACTGTAAATGGTTTCAAGTTTGAATCCCAAGGTTGAAAGAAAGGACTTAAGATGGAAAACAGGGGCTTAAAAAGAAAATTTAGTTCATTCTAACTCTCCTGTTTAACAAGAGTCTACATGAAATATCCTTGTTCATCTTACTTGTTTACAGTTTCAATGTTGCTTCAGAACTTATACATACAGAGTTACATACTATCTACCACATTTTGATATATACATGGAATGAAAAGTCAAAAGTCACAATCATACATTTTATCTTGCATTGATTTAGGAATATAAACATTTAAACACAAACACACATGAACATAACAGTTAAGACACACACACGCATACACATTGGGAAGTGGAAACTGATATTAAAAAAACAACACACACATTAAAAAACACAAGAAGAAACAAAAGATAAACAAACAATTTAAAAGTAGTTTTTGTATAAACATACCAAAAGGATTGAACTCTGTGATTGAAAAGAAGATTTTCCACTTTGATGATGCAAAACTTTGGAACACGATGATGTAAACTCAATATTTTAAGAGATAATGCTAAAAAATGAATAGAATTGAGTTATACATATAAAGTAATTTATTAAAATGATTTTTGGAAAGGATGTCAAAGTTTGATACATTCCTTGCAAAAATTACATAACTGAAGCAATGTTTGAAAAGTTTCTCCAAATTAGCGTTATTTTTAAAGGGATTGACAGAATTTTGTTCATGATAATTAAGAAGGTTTATTTGAATTTAATACATTCCTTGCAAAAATTAGGTGAGCTTTTAAGGAGGTATTCACTTTCTTTAAATTCAGCGAAATTCATATATTGTATTTTTATTACAGATTTAATTTAAAAGCAAAAAAAAATTAGAATTTGCCGAGTGGAATTAAAGGTAATTGAAAAAATAGAAAAAATGTCATGTTGCATAGTGAATAAGTTGATGACATGTGGCAATGTTATTTTCTTTTATTAGGGTAATTGGAAAAATAACAAAATTGACTATGCAAATTATGAGTTTCAGAATGTAGCATAAAATTACTTATACATCAAGTCAAGTTATGTATAAGAATCATGTACCATGAAAGAAAGTTGTGAATATGTAAATATATATCCAATAATAAGAGTAAAAAATTCTTTGTATTTGGATGAGCGGTTAAATTTTGTTGTAGGATGTGAAGGAGACTACTAAAAAATGCCTTTATTAACTGAAATATAAAAGATGATTATGAAGAAAATATGAATGTAATGTCCAAATATAAAGTGCAATATAATGATTGCATAAAGCTTATAATAAAAGAAAAAGTTGTAACGTCCGTAGATCCGGGCTAGTCAATTTAGAGATGATAAGCGTCAAAAATGACTTTTTGATGGAAGATTATTTAGAAGAAGTAATATTAACTAAGTTGTAGTATATGTTATAAGGATTATGTGCATATAAAGAACGCCGAAATCCGAGTTATATAAAGAAGTTATGACCCGGCAAAGTTTCGCGACAGAACCGACATGATGCTGAATGACGTAAAAAGTGAATTTACGTTAGAGTAATATTTAGCCTTAGCGATCTAAACAAAAGTCGTAGAATACATTAAACCGAAAGCGTGCATAAAAAGAACGCCCAAATCTGACTTCATATGAGGAAGTTATGATTTTTTCGAAGTTTTGACTTAGCAGTATGCAGCTCGAATCCTCGATTTGAGATCGAGTGATTTTTAGCCGAAACAATCTAAATGAGAATCAAAGATCTCATCGATAGTAGTGAAACGATAAAAAGATAGGCGGAAACAGACGTCAGATGAAGAAGTTATGAATTTATAACGGAGTTTTTCTGTCCCGACCTACTAAAAATAATATAAAAGTAATATATTTATAATATATTAAAAATAAAATAAAAATTAGCCAACGGAATCTAAGCGAGAGTTGTAGACCATATTCTCACCTACGCGTCGATATAAAGAACGTTGAAAACGCAGTTCGTATGCGAAAGTCATGAATTTCTGAATTTCGGGGCGTGAAACCCCAAAACTGTCAGCCACCACGACGTGTCAGGAGCTCTAGAGTCTATCAGACCCATTTGCAATGACGCATGCAGTGACGACCTAGCCACCACGATGTGGTAAACCGTACCACGACGTGGCAAGGGCAAATTCTACCCTATAAATAGATTTGAAGGGCCAGCCGAGTTTAGGTTGCTCCAACTCCTCTCTCTTACTCCCGATACCCTCTATAGTCATCCCGAAGTACCCCCGAAGCCCCGGTTTCATCCCGAGACCTAAATCAAGTCCCGAAGCCCGAAGATCCCAAGAAGTGAGATTCTCGAGCCGAAGCTCTACCCGCACGAAGCCCGGTTTTTGTGAAGATCTTCTAGATCTACCGAAGAATACTAATTCTACAAGTCGTAGTGTTGTCCGATCATCTTCTGATCAAGTGAGTGTGTGGTCACTTTCTTCTAACACATAAATATTAAGTGTTTGCTATGAAATACGTGCTATGTGTATAATATAAAGTTGTTTATATGTGTGGATGTATAGTCCCTTTCATAAACACGAGTATAATACAAGTACTGTTTGAATGTATTAAGTATATTTTTTGGATGAGTGTGTAGTCACTTTCATCTAACACATAAATTTGAAGTATTTGCTATGAAATACGTGATATGTGTTTATATATTGTTGATTATTTGAGATGGGTGTGGAATGGATGTTTTATATAGGTTTTAAATGAGTTAAACTATATATGTATTTTATATCTACAAATATGTTGGGTAAAACATGGGTAGACGAAATAGTTGGTGTGTGATGAAGGATGAGTTTGAGGATGAGATGAAAGATAAACCTCGGTAGCTATGGATTTAGTAATGTAAAGATAAACCTCGGTAGCTATGAATTTAGTACTATATAGATAAACCTTGGTAGCTATGGATTTAGTACCGTATAGACGAACACTGGTAGCTATGGATTTAGTACTGTATAGATAAACCTTGATAGCCATGGATTTAGCACCGTATAGACGAACGCTGTTAGCTATGGATTTAATATTGTTTGATAGACGATGATAGCTATGGACTTAGTACCTACACTGGTAGCTATGGATTTAGTACCCAATGAAAGAACCATAGCAGCTATGGAATTAGTGCTTTACGAAAGAACCTTGGTAGCTATTATCTTTGTGCCAAATAAAGAATCCTGGCAGCTATTGTCTTAGTGCCAAATAAAGAATCCTGGTAGCTATTGTCTTAGTGTCAAATAAAGAATCCTGGCAGCTATTGTCTTAGTGCTAAATAAAGAATCCTGACAGCTATTGTCTTAGTGCCTAATACGGAGTGAACGAATAGATGACTCTTATGGTAGACCCTCAAGAGTAAGGAACGAATAGTTGGGTTGATTGTTTGATAATTAAATATAATAATTATATTATTGTGGGTTGAAAACCCTATATGCTCACCAAGCTCCCAAGCCTGACCCACTCAGTTTTCTTTGCATTACATGTAATGGCACAAGAGTATAAGTTGGTGGACTTGACGAGAGATTTTGGATTATAGATCAGTAGTTATAAATAACTGTTGTAAAGTCTATTTTATACTGTTTATGCTTTTGGTCTGTATCGGAACATGACATCCCGAGATGTTGTTATTTAATGAAAATACATTTCTTTAAAGAAATGCTTTGATAAATTCTTATCATATTTTGTTTTGGGAACAAATTCCGCAACCGTTTTGTTTGAACGAATACTCTGATTTATAAAACAAAGCATAAACAAATCGGTCTTTTCTGGCCGTGAAATTGGGATGTCACAAAAGTAAAACCTAAGACGAATGAATATTCATAGTGTACCAAACACTAAATATTAAAATCCCAAATAAAATTCAAGTAAAAGTGTCGAATATTAAAAAAAATTCTAAGAAAATAGCATAGAGTAGCAAAGAAAGATCGAAGTTATTTTCTTCATAAACAGGATCACTTTTCAACTTTAGGAATCAACAATTTAGTTGTTCCACCAACTTTTCCATCTCCAATACAGGGTGCATTAGGTTTCGTTGTTGATTCATAAATGTCATCATCAAGATCGTAAACATCTCCAAGTTTACGTTTGACACTTGTAGGTGGTGAATTAAGGTTGTTGGTTGTTCTTGATGATGGACTTGTACAAATGCCAGAGGGAATATTCGACACAGGAGTATTATCAACAGTGTGGGAAGTAGCATCCTTAAATTAAAAAGAAATAATGATGATTTAGTAATATAAAGGATAACATATATAAGAGTAAATGATTTTGTATTATAGTTTACCTTACAACCCACTATTTCTTGAGATGCAAATTCTGAGCCAATTATATTAATAGTTTCTGTATCCATATCCTATAAAATTATTGATAAAATAAAACAGTATGTTGGGTTAAGGAATCTAGAAAACAGTATTTTCAAAATATGTATGTTTTAAATTAATTAAGTTGGTGTATTTTTACCTGTTCAATCCTACTCTTTTTCTCAATTTTCTCTAAAGCAGAATAATATCAACATTATCCGTTATTTTGGAAATGTTGTAAAAACGACTAAATCTTGAAAAATTAAATGTCTTGACAACAATCTTGAAAGCCAATTTTTTATCGATCATGACATTCAATTCAATAGGAAACTCACTTGTATTGTCAAAATACAAAAAATATTAATAGATAATAACAAGTAAATCAATGTGTGAAAATTACGTTGTATTTAGCAAGATGGTATTGCGTATAAGAAACATATACCCTTTCATATTTTGATAATAAATCAGCAGCAGATAATTTCAGAATATTTCTAACTTCATGATCAAAGATCATAAGACTGACAACACCAACTAAACCTTGAACTCGAACTTTGATCATAAAAGTAAAAAACACATAAAAAATTAAAAAGTGTAAATTAAATATAATAATATTGAAGAATAATATACTAAGTTAATATTTATTACACACCTTGGTTCAACAGTAATAAGTTTGTCCTTGCACTTTTTGTCCTTGCACTTTTTATTCGTACAAACCATAATCTCTTTCTCTTCTAACTGGTCTAAGCCATTGAAAGTCTCATTTGGAACCTTAACTATTTGAACCTTGACTTGCAATGTTTCCAATCATTATAATACCAGTTCCGTTTATCTTCAAACATCTTTATTGTGCCAAGAATTACCGCACAACCAACCTATGATATTAGGTGTATTTAGGTGTAGTAAATATTTAAGTATTGAATTAACTAAATAAAAAAGAGGATAACTCATATATCTCGTCCAATTCATGAATAGCGGATATTTTGTGAAAAGAGTTTTTTTGAAGAAAGTTATCATGTAGTGAATACATGATGGATGATCCCGAGGTACGTGAAACCGAAGAAGTCAAAAAGCTTTTTTTGCTTGTAAACTAATTAAGTTAATTAATGTTAGATAGTATAACTCTATATTATTGAAACATTAAAACGTAAAGAGAAATCATGTAGAAATTTCACATAATCTTTTTTTGAAAGTTGTTATCTCCTCAATATCATCTTCAATATAAAGTTTTGTGGCCAAGTAGGTGTTATTGACATAAGGACTATTTGAAAACGAAATTTAATATTTTTTGTCATCTTAACAAATTCATATCATAGATATGTTATTAATATAAATATTACAAATTAATCATTTACTAAGTAAGTACATCGCACAAGCTTCAACTTAGCATATTGAATAAGCAATACAAAATGACCGGCATGCTTAGAGATATATGCATTAATTTCACCAGCATACCTTCCCCATAGAGTAACAAAGATTTCACGTACTATGTAAAAAATGATGAAAATTACTAAAAGAATGTATCAGAAGAAGAATAATTATAGGTATAAAAAATGAAACCCACTCTAAATCCTCCATTTTGAATTTGATATTCTTTTCCTGTTTGTCCTTTGCAAGTTCCAATGGAAAACATCGGAAAACGTTTCCAATAACATCTATATTATACAAAAGGAAAAATGTAAGTATGTTTTTTTTGTAGTGTAAAAAATGAAATTTAAATATTTTAATCCATTAGGAATGGGTTGAAAGGAAATGCACTAACCAAATGAAATTTTCGGGTTGATTGCATTATCATGAAATTGTCGGAAGTCTACCAAATAAAAAGAATTATGTGGCCTGCAAAAATCTGTGCATATAGTTACCTTCATGGTATACTAGAAATAGAGTTTGTGTGTGGACCATCAACAAACTTTATAGCACCTTCATTTAACCCTAATGTGGGTTTATGAATGTAGTAATCACCAAATTCTTTAAAAGATTTTCCTTAAAGCGATGCAAATGACTTGTCCACGTTACATTCAATTTTTGAGCCTTTAAGATTAAAAATCAAATATTAATTAATAAGTATACAATAAATGTAATGATATATAAAATATGTAAGTTATAATACACATACATATAATTGTACGTTAAGGTACGTAAGTTATAACATACAATTTCATCCACCAATATCATGCTAATCATACGGATTTGCTGATTCCATGAAGTTTGTTTCCACAAACGGATGACACGAACCTTAATTGTATAGTCATCTTGTGAGAGAGTCAAGTCACTTCTCATGCTAATCTTCATGTTTTCCATTAATCTATGCAAGAATGTGGTAATAAACATAAGAAAACACAATTTCAATTGCACAAATGACAAAACGCATTTATGTCAATCATGTACCAAATGTGTAAACTGTCAAATAAGGTAGAGAGAAATCATAATGACTAAAAATTATTAATTTACAAATATATTAGTGTACAAAAGTATTAAAGATAACATAAGTAATTAAATTTAACAGAAGTGTCTCACAATTGTAATCAAAACATACGAAGGTCAACAGGCTCACCATATTGTAGGGGAAAAAATTGTATTTTCGTATCTTACGAGGAGAGTTCTTTATTTGAAGTTGCTATAAAATGGAATTTTCATTTTTTTTTACAGAAAACAGTAAAACAAATTCAGTTTTGTAGCAATGCCCAAAATACAAAATATGGAAATTGTAAATTACCTTAATGAAACCATTGAAGTTATCAAGATTTTATATATATATATATATATATATATATATATATATATATATATATATATATATATATATATATATATATATATATATATATATATATGAATTGGAAGTAGATTGAATCGTATGCAAATAGAAATTTAGGTCAATATGGACCAAATGTGTTAAATAGCCAACAGATTTGTAAAAATGACCACGTGTTTGCCCATTGCTCATACAAAAATCATAAATAGTTGGGGACAAAAAAAATATTAGTATTTTTTACTTTAATCAATCAACATTAAAACAAAAATATACACAACAATAGTGATAATAGACCATTCCATTCCTTTTCCTGTTTTCATTCCATCACACCAAAAAAATATAACCACTTTCAAATAAATAGGAAAACACATATAACACTGAAGTTATCATGATTTTAAGGAGGTATTCACTTTCTTACCTGCTATGCGTAATGAAACCACCGGAGTTTTGAAGAATATTTATATCTTTTTTTAAAAAGTTAAAGTATATTGAATCTATGCAAATTCACATTTAGGTTGATATGTACCAAATGTGCAAACAACCAAGAAAACCGTAAAAATGATGTTTTTGCCCCTTGGTCGTACAAAAATCATAAATAGTTGAGGACGTTTAAAAGTATTTGTATTTTTCACTTTAATTAATCAACATTAAAAAAACACAATAACAGTGATAATAGACTATTACATTCATTTTCCTATTTCCATTTCATCACACCAAACAAATATAACAACTTTCAAATAAGTAGGAAAACACATAAAGCAGCACAGTTGAACAAAAACATGAATAACAATTAAGTTTTTTTTTTTTAATTGTATTGCTGTAAATGATTTCAAGTTTGAGTCCCAAGGTTGAAAGCAAGGACTTAAAATGGAAAACAGGTGCTTAAAAAGACAATTTAGTTCATTCTAATTCTCCTGTTAAGAAAAGTCTACATGAAAAACCCTTGTTCATCTTACTTATTTACAGTTTCATTGTTGCTCCAGAACTTATACATAGAGAGTTACAGACTATCTACCATATTTTGATACATGAAATGAAAAGCCAAAAGTCACAATCATATGTTTTTATCTCGCATTGATTTAGGAACTTAAATAGTTAAACACGGACACACAGAAACATAAACAGTTAAGGCTGATGAGAAATAGAAATCAATAGATAATGAAACTAAAGAGAAACAGGAAGAATCAGAGAAGAAGAAAATGATATCATTAAATCTAATGAAATGAATTACAAACTATATTGAATGAAGCAAGAACCTCAAACAATCCCAGGGAATCTCCCTCTCTCACTAGAAAATGATATCATTAAATCTAATGAAATGAATTACAAACTATATTGAATGAATTACTCTTCCCTCTTTATTCTACTCTCTCTCTCTCTCTCTCTCTCTCTCTAACTGACTTTCTAGCCACTTTCCATTTTTGCCCTTCTGTCCCTTCTAGAATGCACATGTAATATTCCTAGTTTATTTATATCAAGGCCCAACCATTCTGAATCTATATCATTACTCCCTCCTTCAAAGAAAGTCTTGTCCTCAAGACTTTGACAACTAATAGCCCATCCATCTGCCAGTGTTTTGTCTCCTATTGTACCTCCTTTCCACCTAATTAACCATAGATGCAGTTGGTCCAGGTAATGCTTAACCATATGAATAGTCGACACTTCTGCTCTTTTGGTATTTGCAATTGTACTTCCTGTCCACGGAATGATCCATTGATCTACCGTAAGTGGCCTCAATCCGTTATCATGGCTGTGCCATTCTTCCTTCCTTGCTTGTACCCAAATCGTATTCTCTACATGTTGAACTACCATTAAAGTGTTCCGATTATACCCAATTTCATATGTAAACTTTTCGGTGGACTGATTGAAAGTAGAATCAGTCTCATGTTTTGTACACATAATCCAATTAGAACGCCAATGGAGTAGATCCAACAAATGACAGATCACTTCCCAAACAAGATTTTTGGTAATTAACTCTGCCATATACCTAGATGGTAGCTCCTGCATTTGGCTTGAACATAAACTAACTTTTGTATCCCAATTGTGGATTACTTTTCCAAAAGATGTGAGCCATTCCATTCCCAAAATCAAGTCAGTGTTACCATACTTAGAAACTAATGACTTCACTTCAATTGAAGTACATCCTAATTGAATGATTAACTTCACACATAACTCGGTCACAAACACCAATTCATTATCACTCAGTCCTGATTGAGAATTAGCAACAACTCCAAATAACTCCAAAATTTGACACGGTCCCACAAAAACATTCTTTGACAACTGATCAATTGGTACCTGATTAGCATCCCACGCATAGTGATTGCAGTCTTCTTTGCATTTATGACATTTGTGAGACAAGCGGACTTGAGAACCACCATGAAAACTTAGGTCCTTTTTCTTTCGTTCCTTCCATTCCGTGCGACTCGATGATCTAACTTTCCGATCCCGTTGAAACACATAAGCCATTGCCGGCATTGGGGAAGGTGATGGCAGCTGATTAGGATAAACGTGGTTATTTTCATTCCAATTACAAAGCGTTGATCAATGGCCTTATTGACTAGTGGGTTTATATTTTGTTTTCTCGTTAAAACCCAGTCTATCTTTCGATTTAACAATTGTGATCCCCATGAATCAATTGCAGCCCAATTGTCATTCTTAAGCCCATTGGAAGGGTAACCTGGATAACCCCATTCTAAACGGTTGTTAAACGGAGTCGTTCTCTCCCAAGAGCTCCGTTTGGACTCCATCATCGTTCCCCCGTTCTTTTCGTCAATTCCCGGCAGCAGGGGTGGTGGTGGTGGTGATGGCGGCGGCAATGGTGACGGAGGCGGCGGTCTACTAATTGGAATCATCACTTGCTTTGCTGCTTCCTTTTTTTCAATTCCAAATTTAATCTCCGTGAAATACTTCTCATAATCTCCCGGTTGTTCCATTCCTACAATCCAGGTATTTAGATACTTTCCGTTAAGGTTGAGGGTGGATTAGTTTGTAAACTTCTCTTTCATTCCGCCTTGATTCGGGATTAAGCCCATTGGCTTTCCATATTTTTCTTCTTCAATGGTCGTTAGTGGCAGTAGTGATGGTAGGCACGACGTTAGGTTTGGCGGTAGAGTCCGAGGGTTTGTTTTGGATTCCCATTCTGACTCATAAACCCCCAAGAATACTTCATCTCCATCAGGTGGTGATATTTCGTTGCTTTCACGATCTATTTCATCCAAAATCATTGGAGATGTCACCGAAGGCAAACCCAACGATGCGACCTGAACGACACGGGAAGTAGGATGAGACTGGAAACCGCTAACTATGCCAGACGAATCCCTAGAAGCATCATCAACCACCGACTTTGGTAATGTCCCAGTCGGATCGGAAACAATGCTAATATCTGAGAAAAACTCTGGATCCTGTTGCTTCATCCAATCAAGCAGTACTTCACGAAACGCAACCTCTTCTGCCCGTTCTGAGGCCATGGCGGTTCTGATTGAGGCCATAGATGTCCTGATTTCCTGTATGTCTTCGTGAATCCTTGCTATTTGCTTATCATGATGATCCAGACGCTGTGAGACAGATCTAGTTTCCACCACTGGTTGCACCATTGTTACTCAACTCCGGCAGGTCACGGCAGGTCGGACCAATGATGAGAAATAGAAATCAATAGATAATGAAACTAAAGAGAAACAGGAAGAATCAGAGAAGAAGAAAATGATATCATTAAATCTAATGAAATGAATTACAAACTATATTGAATGAAGCAAGAACCTCAAACAATCCCAGGGAATCTCCCTCTCTCACTAGCTAAATGCTAAGAGCCAACAACATTGAACAATACTAATCGACATCCCCAAAATGAAATTACTCTTCCCTCTTTATTCTACTCTCTCTCTCTCTCTCTCTCTAACTGACTTTCTAGCCACTTTCCATTTTTGCCCTTCTGTCCCTTCTAGAATGCACATGTAATATTCCTAGTTTATTTATATCAAGGCCCAACCATTCTGAATCTATATCAAAGGCACACACACCGACACACACATACACATTAAGAAGCAGAAACTGAAGTTAAAAAAACAATACACATTAAAAAACACAAGAAGAAACAAAAGATAAACAAACAATTTAAAAGTAGTTTTTTTTATAAACTTACCGAAATGATTGAACTCTGTGATTGAAAAGAAGATTTTCCATTGTGATGATGCGAAACTTTGGATCACGATGTTGTAAACTCAATATTTCAAGAGACAGTGGTAACAGATGAATAGAATTGAGTTATACACAAAAAGTAAGTTATAAAATTTATTTTTGGAAAGGATATTAAAGTTTGATACATTCCTTACAAAAATTATTGTGAGTGAAACAATGTTTCAAAAGTTTCTCCAAATCTCTATTCTAATAAAAGAATAGTTTTAATATCTTTTTGATATGTGTCATCACATTAGGCCTCCTAATTAATACACATTTTATTCTTTTTTTGTCATGTGTCACCCTATTAAACTTATTAATTAATGCATGCCACATATCAACCTATTAATTATTTATTTCAAATTTTAAAATTTTCATTTTAATTACAATAAACTAATAGCAATGGAATAAAAATTAAAATAAAATTAATACAAATTATAAGGTGATATAAGTTCATATATTTATTTAAATTAGCGATTATAATTGATTAATAATTTTGTGTTCTAACTATTAAAGTTTAATTAATTTTTAATTAATTTTGTAGCGGGTTATAAACTAGTTAGCATTATGTTTAAAGGGGTTAACAGAATTTTGTTCATGATAATTAAGAAGGTTTATTTGAATTTAATACCTTCCTTGCAAAAATTAGGTCAGCTTTTAAGAAGATATTCACTTTCTTTAAATTCGGCGAAATTCATATATTGTATTTTATTACAGATTTAATTTAAAAGAAAAAAAAAAAGAATTTATCAAGTGGAATTAAAGATAACTGGAAAAATAGAAAAAATGGCAAGTGGAATTAAAGATAACTGGAAAAATAGAAAAAATGGCAAGTGGATAATGTATAAGGTGATGATACCTAGCAATGTTATTTTTTTTATTAGGGTATAGATGATATCCGAGGCTTAAAACTACCAACCTAAACAGCATAAACGATCCGATACAAATATAAGCATATAATAAATATTATAACATGCACATGTAACATTTTATTTATGTGGTAATGTGTATCACACTTTTTCCATGTAGTTGGCAAAAAATGACTAAAATACGATCACCACAAGAGTCGATACGTCCATTGTATTAAAAACCTTGTTATCCATCTACCGCATAGTTCTCCAATAATACATGCATGCATACCTCCACCACCACCCAGATCCCTCTTGCCACCATTGAAAAAACAGCCACCCTTGCACCGCCACCAATTTAATCAATATCATTGTAAAAACATATATCCCTAAGAGATCAGCACCACCATCAACCGCGCCGTTCGTCACCATGTCAAGTTTGCCGGAGGACCAACTGAACCAGCTCCGGGAAATATTTACAAGATTCGACCTGGACAAAGACGGGTCCCTCACCCACCTCGAGGTGGCGGCCCTCCTCCGCTCTCTTGGCCTGAAACCAACCGGAGAGCAGATCCATAAGCTGTTCAAGAACATGGATTCCGATGGGAGCGGGACTGTCGAGTTTAATGAATTGGTTAACGCCATGTCATCGCAGATGATGAGCGAAGATATTTTGATCAATCAACATGAGCTTATGCAGATCTTTCAATCGTTTGATAGGGATGGGAGTGGGTTCATTACGCCGGCTGAGCTGGCTAAATCCATGACGAAGATGGGTCAGCCATTGACGTATCGTGAGCTCTCTGAAATGGTTCGAAACGCCGATACTGATGGCGATGGTGTGATTAGTTTCAAGGAATTCCAAGGAATAATGGCTAGATCTGCAGCCGATTCACTTGGGTTCACGTTGTAATGACTTTGATCTTGAAGGGTAAATAGGTAAGTAAATGTAAATGATTATTTCCTTTATCGGTTATGTATTGATCTCTTGTTCATCTTTTGAATCATTTGATCAAGATTCATTACAAGAAAGTTAGTTTTTTATTTTTTGGCTACCGGAAGCAAATTCAAGACGATTGTCGCGTTGCATTTAAGATTCATCATGGCCATTTAGTGATCAATTCGAGGTCGAAGATACAATTTTATCGTTTGATCATTTTGGTTTCTATTTCCGTTCTAAGGTTTGATCTACCTTTATGTAAGACAAATGATGACGCAAGTGCAAATGAAAATGGAATGGTTTTGATCAAACAATGTTTCATGTCTCGTGTTCATCCAAAATAAAGTCATGCGTTTAGGAAATAAATAAATAAAGGGATAATGACTTGGGAGGGTAATAAGGTTTCCAGCTTGTCCGTATTAGGTCACTAAGGTTTTTTTTGTGCGTATTAGACCAATATGGTTGTTATTACCGTTTAGAAATAGTCCTTTTACCGGTTTTAATGGGTAAAAAGGACTATTTCTAAACGGTAATAGTAACCATATTGGTCTAATACGCACAAAAAAACCTTAGTGACCTAATACGGACAAACTGGAAACCTTATTACCCTCCTAAGTCATTAACCCTAATTTTAAAGACATTGAGAATATATGACCATCAACAGTAAACTACTTCGTTTAGAACTCGTGTCATCCCATATAACCTGCTACTCCTCTATATGGCGAAGCTCTTCATCTATAGTCGTCCCTTTGGGGACATCCGATATAATTGGAACGATACAGAGAAGATTAGCATGGCCCCTGCCCAAGGATGACACACACAAATCAAGAAATGGTCCAAAAATTTTTTTAACCCTAATTCCCTTTTCAAATGCTAATAGAGTTCAATTGCAATTCTTACGTTTCAGTAGTTCATCTACTGAAGTCATAATCAGACAACATGTGGATTTTATGGTCAGATTGATCTTCTTGTTGATGTCTTCAACCATTTGTGGCAAGTAAGAGTGATCTTTCTTTCTATAAAGTCTCCTTTAAGTTTTTTACTTTTCCTGTCATTAAGTTTCATGCTTTATAAATTTCCGTTTATGTGTTGTATATAGTCTGTATGTGTTTGTTTATGTGCTGATTTTGATTAATTTTGCAACTTCAATTTCTTAGTTCATGTTGTGGTTTTGCTTTTTATAAAATAATTGATAATAGGCATCATCTGCAAGTCCCTATTGGTTTTACATTTCCATTCGTTATCAAATGTAGACATTGATGGGAGGTATCAAAGTGATATTTTGTTTTTGTACATATGGATGTGTTCATGTAAACATTTAAATGACAAAAAAGAAGTTATTGATAAAATGTTGCATATTTATGTAATGAAGATAATCAATCATATGAGTTTCTGGACTTAGAAGTTCTGGAATGATTGTGAGATAAGTTTAAATAGAAGCAACTATTTTCAGTCACATTGATTAGTAAGCATGTTTTCTAAATAATTAGGGTTAATGACTTAGGAGGGTAATAAGGTTTCCAGTTTGTCCGTATTAGGTCACTAAGGTTTTTTTTGTGCGTATTAGACCAATATGGTTGCTATTACCGTTTAGAAATAGTCCTTTTTACCCATTAAAACTGGTAAAAGGGCTATTTCTAAACGGTAATAACAACCATATTGGTCTAATACGCACAAAAAAAACCTTAGTGATCTAATACGGACAAGCTGGAAACCTTATTACCCTCCCAAGTCATTATCCCATAAATAAATAAATAACTATAACCAAATCTATCTTTCACACGGTAATTTCATAATCAATTTTTATATGGACCGATGCAAACAAGTGTGAATTAACCAAATAACATCCTTGTATAAAAGATATATTTCTTGAAAATGCAATTTCTATAATAACCATAATTTTTAGGGAATCTTTATATTTCATACAATTTAATTATTTTTTCCTACATTACATTGAACTATATAAATTCCAATATATTATAAAAACTAATTTATAGTATTTATCGAAAAAGTTTAATAACCATTTAATTCCAAATCCATTGCATGTTAAAGTGACAACTCACAATTGTAGGTATTTATCAATTGAATAACAACTAGATTTACTAATTTAGTAGGCGAATCCCCGCGGGTTGCGCGGGAATAGAATTATATAGTTAAAATAATAAGTTATACAAAATTATTATTTAATATTTCTACTTTGAAACAAAATGTTAGTAGTAAAGCAAACGTATATTTAATATACTAGTTTTATTAAACATTATAGTTTAAATTTTAAATCATTATGATATATACAATTATTTGATAATTTTATAAACTGTTTAAAATTATGTAAATTATATATTAAATGAATGATAATATAACGGGTAACAAAACTTATGAATAAAAATATGAACTGCAACTTTTAGTAATATAAAAATAGAAAAACATCTATTATAACATTTATATTAAAAAAGATATATATACAACGAATAATAAAAATATGAAAAATAAACAGTATAACTTTTAATAATATAAAAACACTAAAACATCTATTATAACATTTATATTAACTCTTCATATTTAAATCACAAATCTCTTCAAATACATTAATGTTTTTAATGAGCAAAACTTTACAACCTTATAAAAAAAGGAAAATAAAAAGTTATTAGTGATTACTAATTAATAATCATAAGTTAAAAACTATTGAGTTGTAACTAATAAATATACATAAATTAGAAAACTCTTGAGTTGTAGTGTGAGTTTCAAATGACTGCGGTACTTGGAAATGTATATTATTATTATTATTATTATTATTATTATTATTATTATATTCTTCTAAATAATTGGTTTTGATGCATCATTTTAATCTCTTCAATTATTAAATATAAAGATATTTAATTATAAATTTATAACATACATAGTTGCATATACATGTTAAACAAATCACATAATATATATATATATATATATATATATATATATATATATATATATATATATATATATATATATATATTCGTAATTGTCATATGTAATTCTTGTCGTAGTAATACGAATAAATTACTTTCATATGAAGAACATATCATGATAAGTCTATCATCATTACATATCAAATGTTAAAAATTATGTTATCTTTTAAATTAGTTGTGTAGGATAACCCAACAAAAAAATAATAGAAAATAAACTTAATCAAAATAGAAGAACTACAATCAAATAAATATGAGCATTGGGTGGTTGAAGATATAGATAAATATGTTACATAAACATACATTTAAAAATCAAAAGAAAAAACTAACATTCGTCAACTTTGCTTAAACAAAAAAACATATATCCATTTTATGGATCTTCTTTCTTCATTTAACACCATTCAACCAAAGAATCTTGATGACAATTATTCACTAACCTGCAATCAAAATATTTTTCTTGAAAAAGAAGAAGCAGAAAGATATTCCAAGCAAAACATTGATGTTTGAAGAGTAACATTCAAGATTGAGTAATAAACACAAATCACATATAAAGATTAAATGAGAAACTGAATATAAAGAAAGAATAGAAAAGCTTCATTTCTTTTAGTTGAAAGAAAAAATCATATTACAATTACCATCGATGTGACATAACTCATTTCTTCAAATCATCATATTTGGATTGTGAATGCTTCGACTATATGAAAACTTTTGAATCACAATATCATCAAATCCTTCTTACATGTAAGATTTTATATAACACAAAAGACACAAAAGATTGGCCTTTTTATAGTAAACTTTTCACTAATTACTAATTAAACATAATATAAATTTTAAAACTTTTGAGTGTTAAATCATAATTAATAAAACTTTTGAGTTGCATTAGTTTAAAAAGGGAGTTTTAAATGAATGTGGTTTGAGAAAGTTAAAAATTGGGATTTCAAATGCATGAGATTCAAGAAAAAATACTAGTTTTATAAGTATGTATGATTCGATATTACCATTAAACTTCCAATTATGAATGCTCTTATATATAGTATGATAATAGGAAAGGTACATAAATGACAATACCTAATTAATTATGATATTAAGAAAGGTGCATAAATGACAACACCAAATTAATTATAGTTTTGACCGTTTTCTTCGAGATTGTTTTTAGGAACAAAACTTTGCCCAAGTTATTTATACTTTATACGAATGTTTTATTTATACATTGTCACATATGTTTTACATAAACATCATTACAATATAATATTTAAAACCATTTATCTAATAGGTTAGAATGTTTATTATTTTGTGTAGTTTAGATATTTATATTCTCCTATAATATAGGGGTCATATGTGTAAATGTGTAACTAGTTGTACTATATAAAGACATGAAATACAATACAAAGGTTAACGGGTATTTCACTATTAAACATGATATCAAGTCGCAAAGTGTGCAAGTTGAAGAAATCATTATATGGTTTGAAACAAGCACCAAAACAATGACATCAAAAGTTTGATGATGTTGTCTTGTCTAATGGTTTTGCATTAAACCAAGCTGACAAGTGTGTATATAGAAAATTTGATACTTCTAGTAAAGGAGTCATGATTTGATTATATGTAAATGATATGTTGATATTTGGTACTGATTTAGAAGAAGTTGATAAAACCAAGAAATTCTTATCATCTAGTTTTGATATGAAAGACATGTGGGGGGGGGGGGGGTTGAGGTAATTCTAGGTATAAGAATTAGAAAAGGAAACAATAGGATTTCAATTTCTTAATCTCATTATATTGAGAAGATATTGAAAAGGTTGAACTTTGAGAATTGTTCTCCTGTTAGCACTCTTATAGATCCTAGTCTTAAGCTTCTACCTAATAAAGGATCTTCAGTGTCTCAACTTGAATACTCAAGGGCTATTGGTTGTCTGATGTATGTCATGATTAGTACTAGGCCTGATATAGCATATGATGTATGAAGGCTTAGTAGATATACTAGTAATCCTAGTTCAAATCATTGGCAAGCTATGAGTAGAGTATTCAAGTACTTGAAAGGGACCATGAATTATGGTTTTACTTATAGTGGATATCCTTCTGTTTTGGAAGGTTATTCAGATGCCAGATGGATTAACAACTTAGAGGATCACTCCTCTACAAGTGGTTGTGTGTTTCTACATAGAGGAGGTTCCATTTCCTGGGCATCTAAGAAACAAACTTGTATTACTAACTCAACCATGGAGTCTGGGTTTGTTGCATTGTCTGCTACTGGTAAAAAAGCTGAGTGGCTAAGGAATTTAATTTATGAAATTCCACTATGGCCCAAAACGATATCTACCATTTCTATCAGATGTGATAGTATTGTAACCTTGGCTAAGCTTTATAGTCAAGTGTACAATGGAAAGTCTATACATTTATGTGTTAGACATAACATGATTTGTGAGCTCATCATAACTGGTGTGATATATGTGGAGTTTGTAAGAACTCAGTTGAATTTAGTCGATCATCTAACCAAGGGGTTAGCAAGATATCTTGTACACAAGGCGGCTGTAGGGATGGGTTTAAAGTCCACTTAAAATCTTTTATATTGAGATACCCAATTCCCATCTAATGTAATATTAGATGTTGAATTCAATGTAGAAAGCTTGATATTTGAAGATTGGAACACATTATTATTATCATCCCAAGGTATGTGTTCAGTACTACAAGTTAAGGAGGTTGAATTTATATTCTTAATAGTTCTTTTGAAAAATTGCATTTGTAGGTGCAAGAATAAAAGAACTACCTACATAAGCATGAAGTTTAGTTGCTTCAAGAAGTTAGGACTTGGCTTTGATATGCTTATTGAAGGATGGGACACAAGCTAGTAAAATATAGTGTCAAGTTAGAAGTTTGAGAATGTAAATTGTTGTATATATTATCTTCATGTATTCACTTAGAATAGAAAGGGTTCAATCCTTAGTGACACCCAAATATTCGAATATTTGGAATGATAATATACTAATGTGAAATTCAATCGTCATGATATTTCATTTATGCATCAGTTTGTTGTTGTTATGATTTTAATGTTAAGTTAATCAAGATTCACTTAAATGGGGGAGGTTTGTTGGTGATTTTACATCACTAATGTTATTTAAGTGTAATGGGGTTAATTATTTGATCAATGTCACTTTGACAATTATTGAAAAAATCGGTATGGTGTGAAGTGCACATTTATTTAATTATGTCTTTGTTGAAAGTATACTGTTATTTAGGGGCGAAACCCCTGATCCAACGGGGTTCCGGGGGCAGCGCCCCTGGGAGTGGGGTCCAAGGGACGACAGCCCCTGACCGTTTTTTGGATAGTTTTAAGACAGAAAGTTTTTCTGGTCATATGATCATTTTTCGAAATCAGTTGTTGGTACTCTTCTTATTCATAACATCTTGAACATTCGCTCTTCTGTTTCTTAAGTTTCTGAGTATTATCCGATTAAAGATTGGGAGTACCACCCAAATACTTTAATATGAAAATGTTTAACATTATTCTCAGAATTTCCAAGCCTTTCTATAACCCAATATCTTACATATTCTCTCCCAATACGGACTATTTTTCCCTGCCTTCGACGCTCATGTTCTTTATGTGTTCGTCAATCCCTTCATCAAGGTCTCCACTCGTTTTTGCTTCGTCTCCAACCTGTCATCAATGTGTTCTTCGTGTGTATATGGTTGTCACACAAAAAAACTCATGTTTCTATTGATCTTCATTCCACTCCATCAAGGGTTACTATAAAAAATATGTCATCTAGTGGCACACAAAAAGTGCCACTAAAAACAAAAAAAAAATGTCATTAAAAGCTTCTTAGAGAATGAGCGGGACACACAATAAGTGTCACTAGAAACACTCCCATTAAAACCCTTTAATAACACTTTTTGTTTTTGACGTTGTAGTTTTTTAGGTTTTTCGTGGCATTTTTTTATGTCACGACAGAAGAAAAGTTTTTTGTAACACATTTTTTGTGTCATTAAATGCTTATTTGATTCAAAAAAATACATGCTATTTTCAGTGACATATGTTGGGATTAAAACTCTAATTGAGATTTGATGAACAAGATGCGGATAATAAGAACAAACACAAATATGAAGATATGTCGAATGATCACTCGATTTATTCAAATATTAGGAATAACATACACTTTCAGCATAGACGAAAGAATCTAACACTACATAAGAAACCTCACGTGGCGGCTACATTTTGCCTCACTCTTAACCCTAATAATGAATAATACATGACTATTTATAGGGAAAAGACAAGTCTTGGGCTTTTAACCTACACTTCATCAAGGGGCCCATTGTCATCATCCATGCAGTGCTTTGAAACCCTACAATCTCCCCCTCAAAGTATAGAATGGATGACAATGTTTTAACTTCCAAAACAAGCATCTAGCGAATAAAAGAACTTGCAACGAGGAATAGATGAAACAATCCACAAATCTGGATTCTTCAATAGTCTTTAAACACGTGCTCTAGGATATATAAATCAAGCACTAAAGTATTTTCTTTAAACTTCATTTTCGAATGTAATCCCAAAAAAATCTTCATCAAAACCAAACCCGCCATAAAAACCCATTTCAGAACAAAGAAACCGAATCACTTCTTGTCTTTGAAGAGCTCCCCCTCCAAGTCACAATAATCTTCAAATAAGCTAAAGATATAAGCCATCAAAAAATATCATGTAACAACCTAAACTTTAAGATTCGTAATGCCGCTTGATCGAGAAAATACTAGAAGTCGGAGATATAACAAATCCTTAGCAGAGCTCGATAAAGAACTTCCGCTGTAAAGGATACTTCTCTGTAAAAGCTTTAGCAGAGCTCGATGAAGAACTTTCACTGTAAAAACTACATTCATAATTCTACCACAAGCTTTATTAAAAATCTTCAAATTTGTAAAGTAACAAATCCAATTTCGAATGGCCATATCAAAGTCTCCTCCGATTTATAATCGAAAACATGATTATAAAGCCTTCAAATGGTCATGAGAATGATCTTGAATGGATAAATAATTAATGTGCTCCCCCGCAACAAAATGATATAAACGATGAAGTAAAAAATCCGAAATAGTTGAAAAATGTTGATGTTATCGTGAACAACGACTTTCCGAACCGCCAAGACTTGATGAAATCCATAATTTTCTGTTCACGAAAAAATATGTGCATTAAAAAATCCAAAACTGTTCACCAGTCCTTAAATTTGCAAACTTTTCAAAAAAAAAGGGCTGAAACTATCACTTTTTTACGGAACGTGAGAAGCAGATGATTAATCATCTGCTTCCAGAAGAAATCGAAGAATTTCTTGGGAATCCTACAAGATCCGTTCGTTCTTTTTTCTCTGACAGATGGTCAGAATTTCATCTGGGTTCGAATCCTACTGAGAGGTCCACTAGAGATCAGAAATTGTTGAAGAAACAACAAGATCTTTCTTTTTTCAGGCGATCGGAAAATAAAGAAATGGTTAATCTATTCAACTATTTCATCAGATTCGGGATGTGATATGGTTCCGAAGGATGAACCGGATATGGACAGTTCCAACAAGATTTCATTCTTGAACAAAAATCCATTTTTTGATTTATTTCATCTATTCCATGATCGGAACAGGGGAGGATACACGTTACACCACGATTTTGAATCAGAAGAGAGATTTCAAGAACTGGCAGATTTATTCACTCTATCAATAACCGAGCCGGATTTGGTGTATCATAAGAGATTTGCCTTTTCTATTGATTGACCAACTCCAGGTCCAATAGAAGCAAGCCCTACAGCCAATCCAGCAGCAATAACGGAAGCGGCAGAAATCAGTGGATTCATGATAAGTTCCTCGTACCAAAAAAAATGGTTAATGATACATTCAACCAATGAACTATGACTTAATGATTCCATTGCTACGATTCATACATTCGAAGTAACTACGAACTTTGAATTTAAGTAATAACATTCTTGAATCATCAAAACGACTTTGATATCTCTTTTTTAGTTTCTCTCGAGAAAGTCTTTGCGAGTTTCGGGTTTAATACCGATATTTTAGCAACAAATCTAATAAATCCAAGTGTAGTGCTTGGGGTCTTGATCTTTTTTGGAAAGGGAGTGTGTGCAAGTTGTTTATTTCAAGAATAGGCTGGATCGAACCAGATGTACTTTTTCTGTTATAACTAGGAAAGCTATACCTAATAAAGAAGGGTGCATGATCTCGCGAATTACTTCTGAATAAATTCAGAAATCATATGTAAGAACTATAGCATTTCATAATTTATTGGAAAATCCACTTTGATTCTCTATCAACCAATAATGTGGGACCGTTCACATGGTTAAAGCTAAAATGTTTGAAGGAACCAGATTTGAACTGGTGACACGAGGATTTTCAGTCCTCTGCTCTACCAACTGAGCTATCCCAACTATTCCTCATGTCTCATACTCATTTTCATTTTACTAGAGAACTTGGGTCTATGTCAATTGAAAGGGTATTACAAAGCCTCATCCCGGGCCTATAATTTGTTAAAAGAACAACTTTGTAAGTTTCAGTATGAATAAAAATATCGATCGTGAATCAGTCAAATGGTTTTTTAAATTATGGGACTGGAAATATAACTCTGCGTCAAATTCCCTTTTAATTGTAAGGGTTTCTCGAATTGATCCAAAAATGTCAAGCTTTGAAAACATGGATAAAAAATGACAAATCATTGAAGCTTCAGGGACCAAAAATGTAATTGGAGTCATCTTCCCCAAATTATTCCTGATTAAATGAATACGTTCGAACATTCGCATACGAAACCATGAATACGATTCCAATCGAATTCATCGTCCCCTAGCACAAAGACGCGAACCCGAGTTCGGTTTCGTTTCAGATTGAGAGCCAGACTGGAACTCCGAATCCATAACTACAAGAGATGCGAATCATAGTCAATGGTTTGCTGCGAACCATTGTCAAACACGAATCCAAAACCCTGAGCGTTCGTGAAACAGAATTGCGAGCCAAGATCCACTCTTTTGCAGGAAAGACGTTCGCAGATAAGGACTTTCAAACCCATTTTGACTTTATCGTTTGACTGTTGTTCTTCCCAGTTGAGTAACAATTCCGAGACCTGTTACACGTGAACAATAAGAACTGTGAACCATGAAGTTGCGAACTGATGAGAATGTCATAATTTCAATTTTGATTTTCAGTTTTGACTTGACAATTGCTAACATATCCTCAACGTTTGTTCTGATTCTGAACACGAGATTGGCATGAGAACGATATACCACTTGCGAGACCTTTGCAATCAACATATGAGATCAACATCAACTGCGAATGTGATGTACCATTTGCGAGTCAAAAATGCGAAACAAAATCTACAATTGCAAAAGCCTTCATTCCGATGTCAGGTCCATCATAATTCTTCTAAAATCAATTCTGAAATCACTCTCCCATTTACTTCCGAAATCTCATCTAACTATCAGATTTGGCTAAGATTATGAGATCACAGTCAGAACCAGAAATCCAAGAATACCGATTTTGACTTTTCTGCTTTGACTACCAAAATCAATTAACGCCGAACAACAAAATCAATGTTTCTCAACTTAATCTTCGGGCTAAATAGGTCGATTTTGGAACATGATAGATGAACAAAATCCAAATCGATTTTGATAATGAATTTTTTTTAGAAATCTCAACTCAAGAACAGAACTATTAGCGAAATAAACAAAAATCGAGAATTGTGAAATCCAAAAAGAATGCTTAATCGTCATGAAGTTAAACCCACAAATCTAATAAGAATATTGACATTCGATATTCGAATTTTGTGATTTCAAACACCGATGAACGATAGATGAACAATAAAAAACAATTGAAACTATTGGGCATTGAAGAAATAGGATGAACAGTAAAGAATAACTCTTTTGGCTAAATCGAAAGGGATTGATCCACAAAGCAATGTATTAATTTCGGACTAAACAGTTAATTGGATCCAAAAAAAAATCCGAATCAGATTGAGAAGAAAATACCCAGATGCCTGTCATGAACAGTTGATTGAACATAATTTTGATTCCAATATGCCAAACACTAAAAATCTTCAATAACTTGTGCAGAAAATCATCAAATCATGGACCAATACTTTGAAAATCAATAGATCTTCAAAGACCCGTTCTGATACCACTTGTTGGGATTAAAACCCTAATTGAGATTTGATGAACAAGATGCGGATAATAAGAACAAACACAAATATGAAGATATGTCGAATGATCACTCGATTTATTCAAATATTAGGAATAACATACACTTTCAGCATAGACTAAAGAATCTAACACTACAAACCTCACGTGGCGGCTACATTTTCCCTCACTCTTAACCCTAATAATGAATAATACATGACTATTTATAGAGAAAAGACAAGTCTTGGGCTTTTAACCTACACTTCATCAAGGGGCACATTGTCATCATCCATGGAGTGCTTTGAAACCGTAGATATTAGTGACTTTAGCCACAACACAAAAAATATTGTGTGACATATTTTACACGGGTAAACACTCATTAGATTCTATATTTTATGTTACTTATATCTAAACAATTTTTATGTATAATATAAAATAAAGTAAATCAAGTAGAAAAATAAATCATCCATTTTATAAAACAAACAATATTTTCTTTAGACTTAACCATTCTATTCCTTGAACGATTCAGTTGTAACAAATAAACACTACTTACAAGGAAAAATTAAATGTTTTTCTCAATCATTTGTTTGACTTTGACTAAGCCATAATGGACGCTATCAAGTATATATTTTTCATTTTTAACTCAAATTCAACTTCTTTACTTATTGTCTTTCATGACATATAAACACGAAGCTTAAGGTAAACACGTGAGCTAGTATACCTTGAGCTTGCATTATCTTTAAGTCTCCTGCTAAAAAGCATTTTAATTAAATGTTAAAATTTTCCATCTCAAAAACTATTGCACCATAAATTTTCAAATAAAATTTTCATTTTAAAATCACATAAATCTCATCAACACATTTCACAAAATCCCCAACATGTTAGATTATAAAAAACACATATTCATAATTGTTTGCATAAAATCCAGGATCCTCCAAAAACATAACTCCATCTCGTGTGTACAATCAAGTCATCGTCTTCCCCTGATCCTAAGAAGTACTTGAAGCACATAGCACAGTAAGCACGAAGCTTAGTGAGTTTCTCAAAATACCATACACATCTCATTAGCCTCTCATGGCTATGTCTTGAATAAGACCCTCCGTTCCATGTGTCTCAGTTGGACCCTCCGGTCCCACAACTCCGGTGGACCCTCCGGTTCTAACTCAGTAAAGCTCAAAATAATACACAACATAAATCACAAAGACATAATGCAGGATATCACAATACTCAATAAAACATACCAGACCCTCCGGTCACACAGAATTACCACTCAAGGTATGTTTAGGGTCCTAAGCATAAAATATCTCCTCTAGCTTGATAAAGATTGGAATTTTGGGCTTAAAGGACCTCATAAGGTCCAGATCTAAAGTCTCAATCTCTTGGCAAGCTCAAAATACTCAAAGTCTTGAGAAAAGATGGAAAAGGCCCTAAAACTTCCTAAAAACGAGATCTAATCAAAATAATGAACAAGGTGATGAATTTTACCTTCAAAGAGAAGCTATAGATGGATAAACACTAGATCTAATAGTCCCTTCTCGTTCTAAGCCTTGATACTCTTCTGTTCTCTTCCAATAGTGCACTAGAATGCCCAAAGTTAGCTCTTCTTTCTCTCTTAAATCAATCTAAATGATTAGGGTTTCATATAGGGGAGTCAGGTGACATGGGAGGTGGAAATGAGGGCTTAAGGTCCTTTAAATAGGACACAACCCCGGAAAATTAGGGTTTCCTCTCACAGCGCCAACTCATCGAGTTGGTCGTAAAAGCCACACGGCCAAATCCTTCACTACTCGACGAGTTGGGGGCCTCCAACCCGTCGAGTTGCTCAATTAAAATCATGAAAATTATATAATATTATACTAGGTAGTCGGGATGTTACAAAAACTAAGATACATTTATTTCTCAAGAGTTTAAAAAAGCAACAATACCTAATATCCTATAATAACATCCCATAATGAAGGAGGCAAGACACAATTATAATAAGCATAATAAATTACATTTTAGGTCCCTATGAAATTCTTATTTTTTCAGTTTTGGTCCTTACCTGTGATTTGTAACATTTTTGGTCCATATTCCAAGCTAAATGACTATTTTTTGGAACCAATATTGCAAAAATCAGCTATAATCAAGAAAAAAATAGGCATTTTACTTGGAAGAACATGGACCAAAAATATTACAAGAACCACACAAAATGACCAAAAATATTTGTAGGGGTGAACCCTCTGTTCGGCTACGAGATCCAGGAGACTTCTCCATCAGGGTTGTTCAGGGTTTTTGGCGTACATCTTAGATACGAGGGTTGATCCTACGACAGATATGTTGGATTAGGTGTCTAAGCCCATAAGTATATCTAGTATGTACTTGACCCGATAGTAGCATGATCCTTTTGGGTTGCCTTCACCATAGCAACTTGACTGGATGAATTATGGAGAAAGAGGGTAATTATGATTTATTAATATATTTTAGGAATACTATATTAAAAGAGAATTCATATTATTTAATTAATATTGGTCAAGAATTAATTTAGAAATGATTTTGTGGTAAAAAAAAGATTAATTAAATTAAGGGGACTGATATTATAATTATAAGATAGTTACAAAGTTA